ACAAGCACATATACACTCCAGAACCAACAGATCACATTACTTCCGTGTTTTTTGGTTTCTTGATTCTTGGTATACCATTAGGGTGTCTAAAAACCCCATTAGTTTTTACCTTTCCGGTTTTACTCTGTAGGTCTATCAGGAATGGTTACCGAAAGCTGCCGCTTTCTCTCGCAAAGCAGCGACAACTATATTTCAAACTGTTCATTCATCAGCGAACGGCAGTCAACTATCACCGAGTCGCCTTAGCCCGAACACAACGAATCAATCCGATTCGATCACACACCCTACACATGTACCTCGAACAACTACATCCCCCGGCTCCGGTGCCTCCCCGGCTGGCACTGTCGGTCCCAGAAGCTTTCGTCTGTCTTTGGGAATGCCGACGCAAATGTCCACCTCAATGTCTTCAACCAAGTCATCTGCTGGTTCGCTTTCACACAACATGGATCAGGAACCGGATAACCTGTGTGCCGCAGATCCAAATATATTACAGAATGTGGACTCAACAGCTGAAAAACGTTTAGTTCAAGATATACGGTCAAACACCGAGAAAGGTAATGAAGAAGATGAAGACGATGCAGATGATGATGATGACGACGATGACGATGATGATGACGAAGATGATGACGATCACGCGGATGAAGAAGAGGAAGAGGAAAAACATTGTGCGCTAGCCCCACTCCAATCCCATCTAACTATGAACATGGCCTATTCACATTCAACACGCCCTCGATACAATCTGGTTCCAGTCGTTCCTCCCACCGCGTTGAATACGACTCCGTTTCTGGTGGACACGCATCAAAATGTCACAGCACAGCAGCAGCAGCAACAACAACCGGTATCGCTGTTCGGGCGGAATCAGGCACCTAACCTGTTCTTAAACAGTCCGTCACCACTTTCATTTGCACCGAATCCCATTATCGCGGCTAATTACACGGGGTCCGCCGGTCTGTCAGGAACTCTCGTACAGTCAGTTCCTCCGACCACGGTCTACGGTCTACCCAACGATCCGCATTCGGCTGCTGCTGCGGCAGCCGCTTCCCTTATGCTGCTCCGACCTGGGGATGACGATGAAGATCTAGCCGAGATCGATCGAGTCAATCAGCGTTTGGCTATGGGAAAGCTGTCGGATTTTGCCTTTCCTGGGGCTTTCGTGAACCCAGATACGTCATCCTCATCATCACGTAATTTTAGCACATCCGAGGCACCGTCCAATTACTCCGGTTCGGAGCAATTCCCTGAACCAATAGACCATCAATGAACACGTGACATTTCATCCATGTCTGTGTATTTATGCGTTGATAGGTTGGAAACAAGCGCCCTTCTCATGTGTCACTTTCACCTTAACCGATACCTCTCTGTCTTTCTGTCAATTTGAGTCGCGGTTCTTGAGTCCGAAATCGATGGTTGTTTTAGCCAATCTATATGTCCATCAATCAATCAACTAGTTCACACAAATGGATTATCTACTTCTAATCTGCCTTTGTGTGCTTTTTATCCAGTTTTGTTTTATTTCTCAGATTATCTGTCATTTTCATTTGTGGTTGAATCGATGGCTTTATTATTACCGATGGAGTGTTTCTGTCTGATTCTGTCTTGTCACGAGTTATCCAAATATGATATTTTCCGGTGTATTGTTGGTCTGTGTGTGCGCACGCCTGTGGCTGATGCCTGTCTGTTTCCCTGTTTATTTTTCTCTTCTCTCTCTGTGCAT